TATATATATATATATATATTTGCAAGCTAGTTATTTAATGCTGAAAATCTGTATGTCACAATCCCAAATTAAAACGTGCTTTATATGTGAAAAATTTAGACCCAATCAAATTAAGTTTGTCAAAAGTCAAAACCAACTCTATCCGATCAATTCACTTTTCTTTTTGTTAGATAGTGTTTATCACCTTCGTCATCGATGGTTACCATTAACTAGGTTAGCCAACAGAGAGGGACATGTGTGAATGAGAATAATTTGTTTTCTTTTCCAGTCCAGTTATCTTTTATTTAGACATTATATCTACCAAGTGGGGCCTCTTCACTTGAAAAAAATTACATGTCATTGATGTGGAATTTTATATCTTGCACCATTTTTTTTTTATATTTTGCATCTATTAAATCCATTTGATTAAACTTATATCAAATTTTTTCAATTTTTTAACTCAAAGATCATTAACATGATAAATATATTTAATTGATTTTTTAATTATTAAATTATTTTAAAATTATTTTTTTAAAATTACCCCTAGCTTTGATTTGATTGATATAATTTGAAACTAACTTAGCTGCTAATAAAATGTTCATAAAAATTTAACGCTGTTGGAAATTTTGCGCTACATTATGATGGATTCCGTCGACCCAACTCCCGGGCATGGATGGTAATTAAATGATTTTTATTTATACACAATTTAATATAATATTTAAAACCCCAAACCTAAAAAAGATTAGAGAGAATCACAATTAAGGAGTACTTAAAAAATTATTTACAGATAATAACTAATAATAAGTCGCATTTAAAAAAAAGTCCATATTTTATTTTAATAATAATAATCCATTTTATATTAATCTTTGTCAACATGAATAAGTTTTTTAGCTAATTATTGGATGTGATTCTCGCATACAATCACACATTAAATCATGATAACTTACACATGCTGATGTTGTTTGGAAAAATCACAATCAAGGATCATTGGAGATAATTTATTATACTACAGGACCAAAGAACCTAAATATAATTAAAATTTATTATAAAAAGACAAAATTACCCCTTATGTGTTCGTACATTTTTTTAGTAACAACTCCCCATTTGAAGAAAAGTAAATGCCATTTGCATTTTGCCAATAATCAATTCACTTATTAACAATTCCAAAAAAAATTAACTTTTTGGTGGAGAAAAATAAGTATTGTGAGTTGAACATTTGGTAAACAAGTCCTCATTTGGAAAAAACAAATCTTATTTTCTTTTAACAGCAATCAATTCCCTTATCAACAACTTAAAAAAAAAAAAAACTTAGTAGTGGAGAGGAACAAGTATTGTAATTTGGTGAATAAGTCTTCATTTAGAAAAAAAAAAAAAAAAGTTTCATTTCCATTCTAACAGCAAATAATTCCTTCATTAACAACTACAAAATATGAACTTGGTAAAGAGAAATTGTTCTAATCTGGTAAACAGGTCTCTATTCAAGAAAAAATAAGTTTCATTTCTATTTAATAATAATCAATTCTCCTATCATAATAAATATATATAAGAAATAGTTCTATCTTTTCACAACAAAATTTAATTGTATTTAGATCCTTTGGTCTTGTAGAGTAATATTAAAATTATTTGATCGTGCAATACAATTAATTGTCTCTAATGGTCCTTTATTGTGATTTTCCCATGTTTTTTTAACACCAAAAGTTAAAAAGTAAAAACCCTATGTATATAAGTGTACACATATACACATATATATACACGTTCATATGAAAGTACTCCATTTGTTTCTATTTGTAGAAAAAACTATCACTTTTTACTTGTTTTTTACTATAAACAAAATTACTTATTTCAATAAGTATTTATTACACAATTCTTAAATCACCCCTCATAATTTATATTAATGAGAAACAATTAATGTATGCTTATGTTGATAGGGCATTTTAGTATAATTTTTTTATCTTCAGATATAATTATTATAGTTAGTTAACTTTTTTAAACTATATGATACATTTTTTTATCTTATAATGGAGGGAGTATATAAAAAGTTTTCCAATGAAAAAAAAAAGCATATAACTTCTCATTTTTAATGTGCATGGGACATGAAACCCCACACATAGGCAAATTTGCATAACAAATAAGTACTCTTCTAGTTTATTTATAGGATAGAGAGAGAAAAAAATTTGGTCATATTTATAGGGCACTTGTCAATTTTCAATGTTCCTCTTTATATTTTTACCCTTATTAAATTCTTTGAATAAAAATATCAGTAAGGAAATTTAAAAATATTTATTAGGAGTAAAAGTAAAAACTCATTAAATTTTAAGATAAAATTAATGAAGTTTAAGGTTTTTCTTAGTTTCAATGAAATATGTTACAAGTAATTTATAAATAAGATCAAAGAGAGTAATGGAGATTATGTTTTAGCCACTTAATTTTTCACTCCCAAGGTCATAACTGGTCTTACATTTCAAGTTTTGTGAGGGCAAACTAGGCATTTCAAAACAAACAAATTATAACTTTTAATTTAAGCACGTTTAAGATATTAGAAAAAAACACACACTATTCTACAAGTAACTGTCTGAAAGGAACAAGAATTATGTGAGGGATCTGGATATATTCAAAAGATTAGATATATGTCTATTTGGAAAACAATATCACAGCTGAACGTATACGTAGTTAATAATTAATTATCATACACATGATCTGCCGTGAATGAATGCTTGATTGTCTCCCCGCCATAATACATTATACTCCCTCCATCCTAAATTATAGGGTATTTTTGAAGGACTTTTTCTATCTCAAAATATGAGATACTTTCGATAGATTAAGGTTTCATTAAATGCATTAATTCTAATATTATCCTTTCTCTCTCTATAATTACTTTTTGTCTCTTCTCTTTTTAATATATTAAATGATAGATGTTTTTAAGTTTATATTTTTATTTTAAAAAGATAAGGTTGCTAAGTGTATTTAATGATATTTATTGATATGTGAAATTTTGTCTAAAAATATCTTATAATTTGGGACGGAGGGAGTACATCCAAACATTTACTGTAACTATCATTTTATTGTGATCATCATTTTTTAATCCTGTTTTTTCCATTTTCCCTAATTTACAATATTTAAATTATTGTCGCCAATTGATGATGACTTTGAAAGAGAATCTGTGCCTCTCATTTATTTCCCTTAATTTGATTGATTTTTATTTTGTTTGATACAATTAACTAATACTTGGCATTGGAAGTTTAAATCTAAACATTAGCTATTATATCTAATTAATAATAGTTCTTCCAATACAGTTTTTTTTCATTTATAAATTTTGAACTTTCAATCTTGAAAAGATAAAATATTAGTTATTATATTATACTTCATCCGAATCATAATATAAGGCATTTTTGAAAAACCCTACCTAGGCCAAAGTATAAAGCATTGAATAACTTTTATTTGTTATTTTTTTTGAAAAAATCATGCATTGAAATTTTAATTATTATTATTAAGGCTATTATATAAGGTATTTAATGAGGGTATGAATGAAAAGATGTCTACATCTTAATGTTTCAACTAACATATATTATTCATGAACTGTGAATTAATTAACTATGACTTATAATGTGGTACAAAGGGAGTATGCCGAACCACTACATTGATCATAAATAGTTATTTCCTCCTTTATTGTGTGCATATCTACTCCCTAATCAAATGCTAATTTGTCCCTTAATGATGATGACTCACACCCACTAGTTGACTAAGTATGCATCTAATTACCATTAATAAACTTTTTATGCTTTTATAATCACATACTCTTCTGGTTCTATTTATAAGTCACGTTTAACATGTTTTATTAATATTAAGAAAAATTTTAAAACTTATTAATCATGTCTTAAAATTTAATAAGCTCTCAACTTTACCCCTATTATATATATACACACAAACTTTAATAACATATTTTTTCTTTAATATTCAATGGAGGGTAAAAGAGGAATTTTGTGATTAAATTTTAATGACGTGACTTATAAATAGAACTAAAAAAATCTCTCTCTCTCTCTACCCTATAAATAGGACTAGAGAGAGTATTAATTATGCACATCTAACTCCCATTATTAAACTTTTATGCTTTATATTTACATATTAATTATGCATCTAACTGCCATTATTAAACGTGGATGTCATGACCTTACCTTCTTTTTAAAAAATTTGAACCAAACAAATTAATAATTTTATCAGAAAATATATAATATTTAATTATATATTTTAAAAATGTAATTTATCACAATATTTTTAAAAAATATGTATATGTTCACAATAATATTTTATTCAAACATGCTTTTAAAAACAATTACTTGATACTCCCTTCATCCTAAATTATAAGGTACTTTTAAAAGAGTTTCTCTATCTCAAAATATAAGATACTTTGAGTAGAGTTAAGTTTCATTAAATGCACTAATTTCAATATTAACCTTCCTCTCTCTATAATTAATTTCCCTTCTTTTTTTTTTCAATATATTAAATTATGGGTATTTTTAAAAGTTTATATTTTTATTTTGGAAAGATAAAGTTGTTAAGTGTATTTAATGAGATTTATTAGTATATAAGATTTTGTCCAAGTGTCTTAAACTTTGGGATAGAGGGAGTAAATTATTTTAGATTCAGGCTCTAAGAAATTGAACATGATAGTCCAATTAAGGATGAATTTTCTTATCAAATTAGAAAAGCAAAGAAAATAAATTTGTTTTTTTATTTAAAAAATAATTATCATTTAAATAAAGTTAGATCATTGACATAAACTGAACCATCTAAATTTTTTAGGGTTTTTTAATTTTTTTTTTTTATAAAACTAGTGTAGGTCCTCTGCATTATTTAGACAAACAAATAAATAATGGTTCGTTGAAGTTTTCATATTATACATATATGTACAATATATATTGAAGATAAATCCGAACTGCAGAGAACAACTATATAAGTCATATACGTTGTAGACTTTAGCCTCGCGCACAATAGTGCCTTGTTGTACAGTGCGCGTGCAGAAGATAGCCATGGCATCGTCTTTGCCTGCAAACTTGATAACCTGTGATCCATCTTCGTTGTGTTTGCAAGAGCTCGTTAAGAATCCTCTTCCCTCTCTTCCTAAACGCTACATTCGTGAAGATCATTATCAGCTCTCTGAAACCCTCACTGATGCAACACCAATACCCATTCTTGACATGAACCACTTGCTCTCTGGAGAACACACAGAGATTGAGCTCCAGAAATTGCACTCAGCTTGTAGAGACTGGGGTATATTTCAGGTTAGAATTCGCCTTCTGCTGTTTCGTTTCTCTTTCATTTGAAGTTTGTTTGATCCCAACCTCACATTATTCTCTTGCTGAGTACAAAAGAACAAGATGATCACCGCCATGTATAAAGCGTTAGAATATCATTTGGATGGTTCTTTGAGTTTATGCTTCTTGATTATTTCTTATTTTCATGATTTTTTATGTGAGCAGGTTGTGAACCATGGAGTCAGTGAGGAGGAGCTAGAGAAGATCAGAAACGAGATTGAAGGATTTTTCAGGCTGCCACTGCAAGAGAAGATAAAGTACAAGATAAGGCCAGGTGATGTTGAAGGCTATGGAACTGTAATTAGATCACAAGATCAGAAACAAGATTGGTGTGATAGGTTCTACATGACCATCAACCCCCTCCACAAACGAAAACCATATCTTTTCCCACAGCTCCCTTTATCCCTCAGGCTCTCTCTCTCTCTCTCTCTCTATATATATATATATATATATATCTCTATATATATATATGCAAGTATGATAGATTGATTTGAGATGAAGGAAAATGAAAATAATCAAGAATAATAGAAAAAGAAATTAGAAAACAAAACAAGCAACAAAGTAGCCAAATTAATGGAGTGAGTGGGTAAAGATAGAAAGAGGGTAAAAATAGAAAAGACAAACTGAGAGGAAGGCAAATTAATACCAATTCTTATTCATTCAAAAGGCATACAAAGCAAATACGTTAAAGCGTTATTTATAGACCTTAACCCAACCTAAAAATAAAAGTATTAAAAGCATAATATTATATAAATCCTAATATTTAAATGCAAATATTCTAAAATAATTTAAAAGATAACATAGTAAAATAAAAGAGATTCAAATCAAACCCAAAGATTATTCTAATAAAATAAAAATATTAAATCTAATTAATTCTATATCCCACCCCACAGCAGCATACCAAACTAGCCTGTGGCTTTGATTACTGTAAATATATGTGCAGGACTGTCTTGGATTTATACATACAAAAGGTGCAGAATCCAGGAATGACACTTCTGGGTCTGCTGGAAAAGGCTCTGAAAATGGAGGAGAGAGACATGAGGGAGGTGTTTGAGGATGGGATGCAGTCATTGAGGATGACATACTATCCTCCATGCCCAAAACCAGAGCAGGTGATGGGGTTTGGTGCTCATTCAGATGCTACAGGAATCACTATCCTGAACCAGGTCAATGGAGTGAGTGGCCTCCAGGTTAAGAAAAATGACATCTGGCTTCCCGTGAACGTCCTGTCTAACGCCCTCGTTGTCAATGTCGGAGACATTCTAGAGGTTAATTTCTCATCATTCACCATCATCATCATCGTTCAGTCCTTTTGTTAAAGCTTCTATGCATGCTAGCTCTATACGATTAAAAACGCCTACGTGGCCGTGCAGATTATGAGCAATGGCGTCTACAAAAGTGTGAGGCACAGGGCAACAGTGAATTCAGACAATGAAAGGATCTCCATGGCTTTGTTTTTCCTCGCCAAACTTGAGTCTGAAATTGGACCTGCAATGAGTCTGATCTGTCCAGAAAATCCTCCTTTGTTCAAAAGGGTTGGAATGGAGAAATATGTAAATGATTTCTTCTCTAGTAAACAGCAAGGGAAGTCATTCTTAGAGCACATGAAGATCAAACAAGAATATCTCACCAGTACTATATAATCATCCGTTGTTAATTAGCATAAGTGTGACTCTGGGTATATCTATCATCTTGTGTATGTTAAGGTGGTTAGGACTGAATAAAAGTGACATGTGATAAAGCGTATGTATTAGATTCCTGTGTGTAACTAAAATGTATTGTGTTATATATACTGCATTATATTCCTGAATAGTTTAAATAAATCTACGTCCGATCATTCGCAATGTCATACAAGAAAATTCAAGAGAACTAGAGAAAGAAATTATTTTATATATTCCACGTGGCTCTTCCTGGTAACGTGGCTTTCCAACCTTATCCGGGTAGACGTAGACCTACTGGGTAAGACTATTCTACCCTTTGACTTTTGAAGGTGAGGCTGAGGAATGAATAATATGACGATCCCTTGTGTGCAAATCTCGTAACAGCAGTTTCTAGATTGGTTATGTAATATCTGCATGGTGAGACCGATAGTTGCGTCTTTTTAATGTAGAAATAAATTTCCTATGAATTTTGAAATTACAAGGAATGTCTCCCAAATGTTCAAACAAAGAGAGACGAGTTCTTAAGAGCTAAGATTTCTACATTAACATGACAATTCAAAATCAAGACCCCGAAGGCTTTGATTGAATAGAAATATCAAAGGGTACAGAATTACCTATCATCCTGCAAAATTAACATTTTCTTTTCTTTTTTGAGAAGAATATGCTAATATGGAAATAAGAGATGATTGTTTAAGTGTAATGACCATGAATTTAAAAAAAAAATTTCAAAAAAATTAATTAATAAATTTTTTCTTAATTAATATTTTATTTAAATTAGTTTATAGCAAGTGGAGAGAGATAATTTAATAAAATTTATGTTAGTATCTTTCTTAAAGGTTCAGAGTTTGAAAATTTATTAAGCAAAAGTTTGATTTTATTTTGTTTTAAATTATAAAAACACATTTTGTCTTTTTTTTTATAATTTTTATTGTGTCTTTTCTTATAATTTTTTCAAGTATTCATTAATATCAGATTTTTCCTCCCCCACCACCATTCGAACACCAGACACTAATGAAAGAGTAGGGAATTACATATGTGCCCTTGTTCCTATAACTCAACAAAAATATCCAAAGGAGGTTTGTTGTAATTTTTCTGAATGGTTTCATTGCTCTAGTTTTTCCTTCCCTTTTCGGTCAGCTTCACGGACAAAATTCAAGGGAGCTTGTGTCTGATTTTCTTTGCTCTTCTCCTCTTCGTGTCGCACTTCCTTCAAGCTCGCCTTGGTGTTGTCATCTCCCCATCGCCGGCAGATCATCCTCTCTCTTTCCCTCCCTCGTTCTTCTGCTTCTGTGGAGTCAAGCAGTTAAAATTCCTCCTCTGTTTCTCATGTTATCGAACCTCTTTTCTCTTATCCTCCATTCTGTCCGATCGAGGTAGCAAGCATGCAAAGAGCTGAGCTACTGTTGCAAGTCTGATTGTGTTACTTCCATCCTTGTTCACGGTATCATCTCCTTATTCCTTCCCCTGTCTCTTGCTGCAGACTTTTCTGCTTCTCTCTCATTCGTACAGTCACAGATTTAGGTGCTGAGCTCTTTTCCCTCCCTATTTGAATTCCCAGAATTTTCCTTTCAGCTTCTGCCATTATTGATCGAAGGTGAGGCACTTTGATTTCTCTCCTCTTCTTGCGTAGGAATTATGTGTTGCATATGGATGACCAAAAATTTTGATTGCCTTCCTTTATGTAATTGTTGGTTCTGCTCATGAAAAATATTGGGTTGCCTTTCTGAGTTGAATTGATTACAATACTGATATTATGAAATTTTTGGAAAATGCAATTGATGAAAACATAATTTGATTTTAGTTGGAAATTAATGCTGTTTGACAAAATGCTTGAAAGGAAGAATTTTGGTAAATGGTGAGAAGCAAATGTGATAATTGTACTATTGATTTTTAGTATATCTACAGAATGTTGGGGCAAAGTTAGAAAGAAGTTTGTTAGATTTGTAGCGAGTCTAACAAAATTCTCTTGTATATTATATGGAGATTGAAAGAGGAGCTTTGTATTAAAATTGACATTGATGCTTATAAGATGTTTGATAAAATGTGTTAGAGAAAGTTTTGTTTGTTTATGTATTTTCTAAAATTGCAATCACTCTTATAAATCGCATTTGATTTGGATATTAATTATTTGTGAGTTTAATTTGAGCATTGTGAGAAATTTGTCGAATATGGAGTTAGTGTGTCATTAGAAGAATTCTTACGTTATATGGTTGCATAGGAAAGTGAATATATAAAGTATTGAAAGGATTGGAGAAATTGAGAATTGATTAATTAAATTATAATGATTTAAAATCTAATTGATTATAGTGTTACCAATATTAGAAGATAGTTTATTTGGTTAGAGTAAGACCATTAAATTGTTTTAATCTTGAATAGGGTGCTTAGAGGAAAGGAGACTTGAATGAAGTCATAAAAAATAAATTATAGTATTTGGGCATACTAAAAAGTAAGTGGATAATATTCCAACTAATTTTTTAATAAAATTATTTTTTTGAAATATTATATGTTTATGTAAATCATTTTGATAACAACATTGTTAAGTATGAGATAGTTTGTAATTTAAATATTTTTGTCTTGTGAAATTATTTTTATTAGCTTTAGCAATTTCTAGTCTCTCAATAAGGCAAGCATGAAAATTTTTATCAGCTTTAGCAATTTCTAATTTTTCAATAATGCAAGCATGAAAATTAGTAATGAAATTTTATTCTGGCAAGTTTTGATACTTAAAAAAAATGCAAGTTTGACTTTGAGAATGCAAATTGTATTTTGATGGTGATGATTTTCTCGCATGTTTGAAAATAATTCGGAGGAAACTTTATATAGAGCATTAGTTGCTAACAGCAATATCATTAGCTCTTGATGCGCCATGATCAATGACTAGCTAGTTCAATTTTTGTAAGTTTCGTGCTTACATTTGTTATTCATGCATGAGTCTTGTACTCACATTTGTTTTTTAGTTTTAAGTCGTATTTGGTTAGTATTAACCTCGTGGATTGTGTGTCCACATTTGTCTTCATGATATAAGCCGTGTTTAGTTGTTTACTTTCATAGACTGTGTATCCACATTTGTGAATTGATATGATAAATTCTCAAAAGTATGAATTTTTAGTTAATTAATGATCTCATATTTTAATTTTTTTTATTATTAGTAAAATGATATTATTTTTATTTATTTAATCTATTTGATTTGTCAAGATTGAATGTTAAAGATGATTTGTCATTAAAGATCTAAAGTTTCATGTAGTTGCATAGAAATTTTATTCTAAGTTTACTAATTTTATTATATTGTATTGCTTTCTCTTTAATTTGTATAAACATTATAAAATATTCATTTTTTAATCCTACAAATTTTATGGTTGGGGCATTATTCTCTAAAAAATATTTTTTCTGTCTCAGATACATTTATTGGTGTTGTACCTTCTGCTGATCATCAAGTGGCTTTAGTATTAAGTTAAAGTGAAGAATAGTAGATCAAGTCTCTTCTGATGTACATTTAAATTCATGTATTATATTTTGTAAATATTATGTTAGGTGCTCTACATAAGCTATAGTTAGAATCCTTATTTTATTAAAGATTCTGTTTGCTGGTTGAAAGGAGCTGAGTTTTTGGTTGTTATGATATTTGTTCGAAATATTTGTGTTGTAAAATTTTGAAAGGTCCTATATATAGAGGAGACTCTGCCGCAATTTTCACAAAAGTATTAATTATTCATTTTAAAGAAAAGTATTTTTAAAAAAAATGAGAAGAATTTCTTGGAGTAGGCTTGAGGGACAAGTGATCAGGCGCAAATTTTGTGCCGGTCACGTTTATATTTTTAGGCGTGACATTAAATAGTAAACAAGTAAGAGTAAATCAAGTGCAACTTCACGTGTAACCTTGTATCCTGCATCACCTTTGAATAATTCTCAATCAATCAGTTCTATCTAACATGTATATAAAACCTGCATAACATAACTCTACCTCTAATGCAGTCTGTGTCGTAGTGTGTCAAATACTCTAAGGTGCCGAAACTCATTGCTACAAAATACACATAACAAAGTGGGTCTTCCAAAGCGCTTAAGAATGAAATGTTCTAAAAAGTTAATGTTGCTTTTTATTTAAAGTGCTCCGATATGTTAAGTATTTCAAAGCGCAACCAAAAAATATGATTAATTATTTTTTTAAAAAATTAAGCCTTTATGAGTTCTCTTTGTAGGAGCACTTCTAAAGGCACAAGACTTCAGAAGAACTCAAGGGCGCTCCTAAAGGGTATGCTTTCTGAAGCGCTTTGCAGAGAGTGCTCCGAAAGCCTTTAACAAGCGCTCTTGAAGCTTGACCTTTCGGAGCGCTCTCTCTATGTGTTGCTTTCATATTACTTTTAAGAGTGCCCGCTCATTACTTATATGTTGCTTTCCTTTCATATCTTATGTAGTATTTTGTTAGAGTAAGATTCTTGTATTTTACTATCGAATAAATAAAAGATTTAATTGAAAAGTAGTTAGAATATATTATTGATTATATTTTATAGGTACTTAGATTTTAATGTTAAAAAATATTAATAATTTTATCTGTTAGACTTGTTAAAAATTAGGCTATTTAATTAGAAAATTAAAATTATTGTTTTAATTTTTTATATTAAAATTAGTCATTTTTTTAAAGAGACGTAAGGAAAAAATTTAAGAAAAACAAAATTAAAAAAATAGACATGGCCTACGATGAGCACTCCCATAGGCTGGACATACGGGAGTGCTCGCGTATGCCATGTCTATTTTTTTTTTTTTAAACAGTGTTATTGATTGAGGTTGCTTCATTTTTCTTTTCTTTCTTTTCTTTTCTTTTATTTTTTCTTTTGGGTTTGGCCATCTTCAGAAGATGGCCAAACCATGACGTGGTAAATTTTGGGTTTTTGGGAAACGTCAGTGGATAGCCCACAATGTTTATAATGAGGGCAGAGTTTCCAGAGAGCAACAGGTTTATCTTTGGTTTGATCCAACCAAGAAATTCCACGCCTATTCTGTAGCATGGAGCCCACAAAACATATTGTAAGAAGCGAGGGACATACACCTCTCCTGAACCAACATTTATTTTATTTTTTTAAACAAATATTTTTCT